CTCCCTACCATTAAAATGTCTCAAGTAAGAGAGTAGTGAGGTGGGCACAGCTCTGCAGTGCCATCTCAAGGCACAGACCTACGGGACCGTGGCCGCTAAGCCCTGGTTTCCAAAGGCTTCGCTTCAGCCAGCATGCCCAGCTTGGTATTGAAGCAATGGACTGTTCCCGCAGGAGAGAGGTCAACACCTCGCATGGCGCAGGCTTGTCTTGCGCAAATCAAAGCCTCCAGTGCTTTAAGGCAGCCAACAACCAAGAAAAACATCAGCTATACGCAGAGTTTTCAAAACAACAGATTTCACTGCTGATCATCTTGTATTTTGACTAAAGCTGAGCTGGATCTCTACAAAAAACAGCACTACTGTGTCTTTCAGCGTAACCTTACAGTTCCCCAACGCTGTATCCTTCGACTGACCAGACATTTCTAAAAAAAAACAAGTGTGGAACCGTGAAAGGCAGATTCCCCATGGACCTCTCGCAAGGCTGAGATACCCGGTGGGTTCTCTGACATCTGAGCGACGAGTTCACACCACAGCTTTTCTCCGCTACCTTGGCCAAAAAGTCACAGGACTGTCATACCTTTGCAGCCCGCTAACGCTCAGTCAAATATGGCTGAAACCGGCTAGAGGATTCAGAAGTTACTGGAGGAAATCAAAGGATGGACATAAAGACAGAAGGACTGAACATTTCATAAGGCTAAAAGTTCCTGCCTAACTTCTTATTTCGTGCCTTCTAAACGAAAACAAAACCTCCAGTGACTGCACAAACAATGCAGAGAAGACAGCAAATTTGTTTGAGGGGCACAGAACGGGAGCGGAAGGGAACGGCGTTCCTGAGGGGAACACTCCTTTATTAAGCATCTCTATCACAGGTAACAGGGAAAAATTAATGCATCAGAGGGAGACCTCTCATTACCCAACTGGCTGGCATCCAATGCAAACCCATAATAACCACATCTGGCTTTTGAACACAGTAAAAAGAACACATAAAATGTTTACTATTTGACAAGTGGAAAGCAGAGCAGCTGCTACACACCCAAAGGTAGTGTTTGCCTCTCTTGCCTCACTGACGGGCTCTGAAGAGCTGGCATTCAAATTCAGAAGCACCATCAAGTTGCTGCCATTTATTACGTAAAAGGATGGAGTTGGAGCAGTGGAGCCTTGCGGCCCTCACCCCTTGCACATCTGCATGCCTGCAGCAAGATGGGCTCCAGGTCAAGTTTCTCTAAATCCAGCCTGATGCTGAAGTTTGCATTTCCAGTGGAAATTCGACCCACAGGATTTACAATCCGCTGGACAGACGCAGAGGCTTGCAGTAAGGAACGCTCTCAAAGCCAGATAAGACTTTCACTCGCTAGAGCCCAGAGTGAAATTCTTAAGAGTGCTGGAGGCAGATTTTCCTTGGCGACCGGCCACAGTTGTCGATCTGGCTTCTAGGAGAGATCAGAATGGCTGCGGATTGCAGCGACTTCAGAGACAAATATAAAACTTTCTTCTACAACCAACTTTCTTACAATAAACCCAGGAAAATGAAAAGCTAAAACATTTCCAGCTGGCTGGAAGCTACGGAGAGCACAGTGAACTTATTGCATATGCTGACTCGGGGCTGATTTGAAATCCCCTGAAACTCTTCAGGGGTATTTGGACATCCGAGTGCCTAAGACACTTCTGAAAGTAAGGTGCGGAAGGCTAAATTATTTAGGCACCTTTCATATTTTAGCAATGTTACTTACGGAACCGAATTTATATCAGATTTCTAACATACAGCAAAGAGTGAATAAGCACAAAGTTTAAGGGAAAAAGTAACTGCTGCTTCCTTGTAAAGCCTTAAATATTTGAGTATCACTGTTAGATCGTTCTTATAAAAAGACTTTCACAAAAGGATTTGAGATGTGACTTGGTTCACTTTATCACTTCATTAAAGGCATTTATGGATTTAGAATTGTCCCAGGATGCAAAGGGAAGTCACTTTTGAAATTACTGTCTGCTCTAGAGTAGCGGCTAGTGGCTAGTACGGATTTTCCTTGTAAATCTGAAGCTCTGAAATCAGTCTACAAAACAACAGAATAGCAATTTGGATTCTCTGGGCTTGACTCTTTTCCTCTTTACCATACAGCAATGAATTTGCTCCCGGTTTTGCTGAGCACAAGGGGAAAATCATGCTCTCTTTGTACAGAAGGATCTTACATTTGAGTCTAGCGTATTGAACGAGGAGAAATTCTGATGCACCTAGACAACAGCATTTTAACAGGTTTTATTTTTCACTACAGGGATCTGTATTTGAGACAGAAACCGATTAACCAGTCACTATATTCCTCTACCATTTTACATTTTATTGTCCTAGAAATAATTTCAGTCATTCCCTTAGAGCAACTTAATCCTGCCTTAGTTTGACAATTTTATCTACAGTTGCTTTGTAAGAGCTCAAAGTTACTATTACTGCAATATATTGGGGGAAGAGGGAATCGCTTTAATCTACCAATTTACTCTGTGCTTTGGGCAGCATTTTGTGCCCAGTCATTTTTCCACCCTACACAGCCAATTTAGACTGCTTCTGCTTGCTTGTGTCAAACCACGCTAATTGATAGGGTAGCTCCAAGGTAGGTATAAACCCATCTAAGGATAAACCTGAAATTACTTTTAACTCTATCTGTCCAGAGTTCAGGTTGGAAACACCATCTACACGCTTGTTCCTTCCCAGGTAAAGGAAAACAGCCAGAAGAATCACAAACCCTTTCAGCTGGTATCCTTCTCCCTGTCACAGCTTTGAGTCAATATTGTGTCTACATCCAGTGATTAAGAGAGTCAGGGAAGAGAAAGAATGCAACTTCCAAGAAGAAGAAACTAAAAACAAAACAAGGGGTGACTTCTCCATGCTGTACCTTCATCCATGCTGTACCTTCATCCATCCACCCAACTTTGAGCTACCCACTGCTGCCAGGTCTGACAACTGTAGGCACAGCCCTGTAAGAAACGCTGTGCTGGTTGAAGGGTCCTGCGACACGGAGTTTGGCTACACATGACACGTCCCAGGATTAACGAATCAACAACATCAAAGGAGACTGGGAACTGCCTCTTCTTTACATGTTGTTGCTAATCCCAATAAACCGGTGATAGACGGCCTCTGATCTACTTGGGACAACCAGATGTTGTCCACTATCTGCATGATACTCCATCTGCGTCCACACAGCATCACTACTACCCAGAAGAAGTGCCTGTTTTCAACCGAAACTCAACTGGATCAAGCTTCGCTTCTTTCTCTTTGCGCCATTCAGAAAAGTTGTCCATCTTTAAATGCCATAAAAAGTTGGGACTACCTTCAAAAACAAAGAAGAAAACGCTCTGTACGAAGAAGAGTATTTGACAGAGGAGGAAGAATTGCAGAGGGCTACTGTTTAGCTTTCTCCTCACCCAAGCTGAATTCATTTGGCTGCGTTTTGCACTTATGAACTGTACAAACATTTCACATATCCCAGCCTGCTGCTAATGCACTGGCTTAGAGCAGCTCAACCTCACAGAACATTTTTAAGGCATTTCATTCTTCAAAAAGCCACAGCTTTCCTCTTCAAAATCCCTGCATTCATGTCTTCGTGCTTGGAAAAAGACCAAACCCTCCACATTTCCTTATGCCCAGGAGGTTGGGAGCGCATTGCGTATTGCAGTCAATAACGTGCCAAGAAGCTAATGAAGATAAAAGTGTCAACACATAGTAATGATAACACACACCTTTCCCGTGTAGCTATTCCGACCATTTTGCAAACAGATTTGGCAGTTAATCACACACCCAAGTATGAAACATGAACGTGTGGCATCTCAACGTTAACAACAACAGTATTGCTCCTTTGCAGAAATGTCATCGGATGACAGATTGCACTGCACATCAATTGGATTCTGAGAAGTTCTCAAACCATTACGGGTTAAAAGTGGCTCCAGCATGAATCAGAGTCACAGTGGTAAGGAGATCATCGATACAAGGGATTATGCAGATTTAAGAAATACCCTCGGCACCCGAAAGTTTTCAGAATGCAAACTACGTCAACCCTGAAAACAAGAGGCACTGCATCATGATGGCAGGAGGGACAAAGCCAGGGGGTTTTAACAGACAAAAAAAGATTGTTTTAATAGGAGAGAAGCATCAGTCATTGAGTCTTACTTCATTCAGACTTTCTATCCAACCCATCCATCTTCGGTGCCAAGAGATGACAGGACCACCTCACTTTTTCCCCCCGGCCTAGTGTATCAATAATGCCCGTTTCTACCACTAACAAATGACTTGTTAGCATGGTGCTTTTCCCTAAATTGGCTTGCCAAGCCCAACAAATGCCTCAGTACCTGCTATGGTCAACTTGGCTAAAACGAGGCCCCTTGAGAGGTGGGCACCGATGGGTGGAGCTTTTCCCAATCATCTTCCTAAACAGCCACTTTGTCATTCATGGCTGGGGACCATCTGTGGAAGAGGGGATGGTGGAGGGGGAGGAGAGTGGGAGACAGACACAACCCCCGCCACACACACGCACACCTTCCCCCCCCCCCCCCCCCCCCCCCCCACAACCCCGAATGCAGATTCTTTCACCCTCGCAAAACGCTTCTCTGGGCATTATCTGTAAACAAAAGTGTCCCAGGCAGGCGGTCTCTGCATCAGTGCTCTCTCTGTTAGCAACACCTGCTTGGTGTCAGCTGGGAGAGTTTCGGAGGTATCTTTTGGCCACGTCTGCAGAAGCCAACCAGAGCACAATGGCCCCATCGCCTAGGGTCACTTGCAGCTTTCTTTCGCTCCCCCGTGCCACCAGCCCTTTTCACCTCCACCATCTCGAGGACCCCAGAGAGCTAAACAAGGAGGTGGCTTCGAGCGCAGAGAGCAGGGGGAGCGCGTAGGGGGGAAATATAGGTCTCTGGCGTAAATCGCCAACGCCGTTTCCCCTCCTCTCCCTTTCCTTAAGACCTGATGGTCTTCAGTCACACATCTTAAAAGAAAAACAAAAAACAAAAACACAAAGACTTACTTGTCTCAAGTCGATGAAGGCCAACTGCAGCGTGTCCCCTTGGAACCCAGGCACTGGGCCGGATCTGGCAAACTCTGTGGGAAAGAAAAGAGGATAAAAAGCGCCTTTAACTAACCATGGACAGGGAGATTGGCAGACGGATGACAGGGAAGACAAGAGAGGCTGGGGGAGAGGAGGACCGCACTTCTAAGGAGTCATGTCTCCCTCCCTTCAGCTTCTTTGTTCGCCCTTCAAAATTCGTGTCATCAAAACACCATTAATTCCACCGTCCTGACAGCAAGGAAACTGTACTAATTCGACCTGAAATTTATTCCCATGAGCCGTACTGGGCTTCAGAGTATTTGTTTTGTGAATGGACAAACAACTTGCAGAGAAGAAAGGGGGGGATGGGGGTGGAAAAGTTTTTCCTCTCAACACAATAAAATCTTCAGCTGTGAAACTCTTTTCAGTTCCGAAAGCTATTTATATTTTAGGGCGCTGAAGGAATTTTCTAATTTCACGCCTGTCACCAGGCTCCATAAGCATTCATCAAAAAAATATGCCTAGCCGCATCATTAATTATGCGGCAGTAGATTATCTGCATTATCTGGTATGGTGCATTATTGCCAGTATACAGTCACCCCAAATGGGAAGAATCGCCTCCATTATGCGGCATATTTATTTATTTTGGATGAAGACATCTGACAACTGAATAACATTGGCTTCTGAAGTGAGAAGAGTATTTTCAAGGCCACATTTACCTCCTCCTAGTGTAATCTGGCCACAATTTCATACTGAAGTCATTTATTTTTCTTCTAATTTATTATTTAAGCCAACTCTAAAACCACAAAGGGGGACTACTACAAATCCATGTCAGAGGACCTTAGCTCTTCCACGTCATTTAACAGCTTTTACTTGGTAACGTTCATAAAGCCAATGACTGCCTGTACTCAGGTGTGTGTTTTGAAGATGGGTCTGAGATTGGTTTTGCCCAACTAAATTTTTGCCCTCCTTAGCCACAGACATAAAGGCTTTATCTCTGCCCTCAGTGCAACTTCTCATGACCAAGTGGATCTAGTTTGCGAAGCCACCAAAGCTTCAGGCAACGCAACATCGTGTCTCAAGAGGCACTTTCCACCTTCGGCTGAATTTCACTGCTCCTGCAGATTCAGAGCATGTGGCACTCTAGAACGGAGAGCTTCCATGAGATGTAACTTAACGTAATGGCAGAAAGGAAGAAACGAGGGAAAAACATACACAAAGGTACGCATTTTTAATTTAAAGAATGCCAGGGCCCTTATTGCCCAACTATTCTGGTATTTTCCATGCAGGAACCCTCAAACCAGCACCTACAGCTCCACAGTGCTCAGGAAGAAGGAAGGCTCGGCAACAACACAGGAGGATTTTGCCTTCTGACTTCATGAGTGCACAAAGGCACTAAGAGACAAAACCTCTCCTGTCCTCATGTGACCTCATGCCAGATGGTCTTCTCCTTGAAAGCTTCTCGTTCCAATAGTCCAAAACAGACATTTTCAAGCAAAGGTCAAGAAAGATGGAAAAAAGTCACTGACAAGTCCTATTTTTAAAGCGTTCCTATAGTAGCCCAGTCATATTAGCAGTCCCCATGGCTCTTCTGAGAACAGACCAACGATGAGGCAGACAGGATTCAGCCCTGTTCTTCGACTGCCTTCCTTCTGGAAGCCAGAGAGAGGTTATTTGTTGGCTTTGTCGCTCCAACTTTCATCAAAATCTTGGGATGGAGAGCATCCTTCAGTACAGACACAGATACCTCCAGGGACGCAGCGGTCAGTTTTCAGACATCCTCGACTTTACTTCTTAATGAGTTCAGATGCCAGAAGAGCTCTACGACTGAAACAATCACTCATCTTCGCACTGATCACTCGACTGATTCTGCTGCAGGACAATGAAACAAGAGAGTGCTTCTCTTTGCAAAGTTAAAGTAAATTGGTTTTGTTACAAAATCTAGACATAATGATTAACAAATGTGGCTTTAAAACCATTATTTTTATCCAATCCTATTACTAGAGACAGATAATAAAAAATAAAAAGAGAGTATATATACAGGAGTGTTAACATTTAGACGCTGAAGAGGAGAAAGCCCTTGACAGCCTCAACATGAGCCTGAAGGACGGTGAAACCATCCACAGTTGTATGTATGGACTTTTTGTCACTTTTGCACAAAATGTGATTGGACAGAGAAAGGAGCGCTCAGCTTCCAGCCAGTTTCACTGAGCAGTGATGCCATGTTTAGGTTGCAAATAGTCCACAGTGATTTACATTTAAGTTAAAAACTGTTTTAATTAATTCTAACTGTACAGTCTTTTTAATGTACACTTGCTATAAAACTTAAGTGTAATTTGCTGAGCCAGAACACACACGCAAGGGAGGACTAACACACAGTCTTCCTGACTCTGATCTGCAAGGGATAAATCATCTTTACGCGTTTGTTATACGCCCCTCATCTCATCCGGAAAAATTATCCCAAAAGCCACACCAATCCTAAATGCTGTGGACTTCACTGGGTTGAGGTAGGTAACAAAGGACTGCCCGAACTCCTGTCCCATGCTCCACGGATGGGGGTCACATCATGTTACTAATTACATTTGAAACAACACTGGAAAACAAAAACCCTAAGAGGATTCCAGCAAAAAGAATTTTCCATTTTAGATTTAAGGGCTTGGCAGCTGCTAGAAATCCATATAGAAGCAAACATGGAGTTGTGAAGCTCAAGATTTTCCCAAAGACATGAATTTCAAATACTCTCTGAATGGATCCTGAAGTTTTTCACAAGACTTGTGAATATATTGCTATTGTAATTGGTCATCCTCGAGCCAAGATGGATTTAAATCCAAGACATAGTCGCCTGTTAGCAGCTCACCTTTAGCTGTCTCCTGCTAAGCAACCACGTGGGAGTAACCCTAGGGGAGTTACGGGAGTAACACTGCACTTTAACACCGCACATTACTACAACGTACAACAGCATATTGAACGTGCTTTTTATGAACCAAGATCTGCTCAAAATGATAACGCTCATGAAAGAAAGGATTGAGGTCTCTATCACCTTAGCAATGCACTTGACATCCAAGAAGTGAAATGGCATGTGAGATCATATTATTTGTATCACAGAAGAAATGAGATCGAGGATATGGCTCATATGCTAGACGAAAGCTGCTGCAGCAATTGCCTGGAAGGAGCTAGAAGAGGACTGAATGAAACGCTTCACCCCATGGTTGTTATAAAAATAGTCGTACCTTCTGTAATCGTAGGTCACATTTTACATACCAATGCCACGAACCTATTTTGGAAGGAGAAACGAATAAAGTCTTAAAGAAAAAAAGAAACAAAGAACAGAACAGAGCTTTAAAGGAAGGACACAGCCAGTTCTTCTTGGTTTTAATCTCTTCAACGAGATTTCAGGATAATTTTCTCAGAACAACCGAGCACAGTGCTGGCCTCAGTACTGTCGGATTCATTCATTGTACTTTCTCCACTACCAAGGCAAGTGGCAAACATAGCAAGCCACCTACAGTACAGCCCCTTGAGCAGAAAATCACAAGAGAATAGAGCAGATCAGTATGCGGCTGTTTGTACAAAGCATTTAGCCAGGCTAAAGGTTTGAGAGACTTGTGTTCAGGCCAAAAAAGTAATGTCTTTGCAAGGTCTACAGGCTTGGGCCACCCAGGGCAGGTCACAGAGGGACTCTAACCTCTCTTCCAAAACATTTCAGCAATGAAAGAATCAAGGAACAGGAACCGTTAAGCCCTTTACAATGAACAAAGAATAAAGAGTTCAAACAAACATGAGAGAAAAGGCACCCACTGTAAATTAATTATACAGGACCGGAGAATCTCTTTTTATATACCGTACACAGTCACACACACAGGACAGATAGTGTCTTACACATACTGCGTGGTTAAAACCCACACAGTTAGCTACTTTATTCTTCAAAAACTTCATTCTGAGGGTAATATTTACTCTAATTTACATGACAGCCCCAGAACATACGACGGCAGACTTGCATGATCTAGACGTTGCCGGAGCTCCTGTTCACGAGAACGTGGACAACGTACTTGTGATTGCATCGCTCACGTGCAAGACAGCTACCCCAAACCTCCGACAACTGAACCTCCACACCACGTCACCCTGGCCCTGGACGCACTCACTCATCTCCACCTAGCCACATCCTTGTATGCCTCCTGTTGGGATTACAGAACAGCAAGCCCAAGAGACATTTCTGGGCTAGACACAGGACTTCGTGGTTAGAGCCCAGCTTTTGTATTTGGGGAAACAACGAGCTTGCATTCATTAATGAATGAGGTGGCAAGCCTCACAGTTGTCTTCCTTAGACAAGCTCTTAGAAGACTATCTTAGAAAAGCTAAGTGACAGGGTCCCTGACACCGCACCCAGAGAAGCAAAAATCACCCCTTGAGAAAACTCACGCTGAAGAACAAATCTCTGCTTGGAATCTGGGGAGGCTCACAAGGAAAAAAAGGTGAGAAATGATGGGTAGGAATTCGGGTAAGAGAAACAGAGAGAAGATCCTTTTGGGAGAGGTCTTACTATTCTCTTTCCAGTTTCCATACTGAGTTCATACTTTACCACGTCGTTCCCAGGCCAAATCATCCAAGTTCATCCCCATCTGCGGAATTTCTAAAAACTGCAGGAAGAAGGAGGAGTTATCCAAAATATACTGAACTGGGTGAGGTTAACAAAAAAAAAAAGTCCCTGCCTGTCATTTGTTCCTCTCATAGAACAAAGACAAGCCTGGAATCCCGTTAGTTCGCTGCGACAAGTGGTCCATGGGGATGCCCCGGGCTGCAGGCACTGACTGGACTGGAAGGCATCCACAGCATCAGAGAGGAACTCCTCACAGCTTGACCACCAGATGTTTTAAAGTAGAAGAAAAGAGAACTCTTCAGATGAAATTGCAAGAGCTGTGTGCCAGAAAAATCAGTATCTGCCAATTTGTAGAACAGGTCTACAAAATCAAGTTACAGATCTCTACAGGTTCCCAAACCCATAACCCAAGATATACACTGAAAGTCTTTGGACAGATATGAAGCTCTCAGCTCC